TTTTACCATTTGGGGTAAATGCATTATAGATTGGTAACCCAATATGCTAGTAACCCCTTAGGGAAGTAAATATGGTATTTAACTTCAGCTCTAAAAGTAAAACTATACCTGCATATCTGTTTGTTCCACTTAAAAGAAGTTTTACCTTCTATCTTTAGCTAAATGTTACTTATACAACTACACAAAAAATGCATGACATTTTTCATCCAAGAACCTATTTTGAATCCAAGTTAAAACTGTACATGTATGCATTTATGAAGGCTTAGAATTAAAATAAGAAACTTAGGGGTGGGGGTGATGCTTGACTGAAGCCAACTTATGAGGTCCACCACCAGTAAAGAAGCTATAAATATTGTCTGCTGCTGCTTTTGTGGCAACATTAAAAAGCGTGTTTAACTGAATCTAATGTATCTTCCTGTGAGTTCTTCCACAAATTATGATACACATTGTAAGTATGTATATTCTATTTAAGAAAACATGATCTAGATACATTTTGATTTTAATTTCTGAGCTTTCTTATTAGGGGTCACTTTATTTTTGCTAATCTTTGTCCAAGAAGACAATGCTACCACCCATCACCCAATGTACAATATACATTTTGAGGGCATTTATTTGCTTTTCCAGTAGTAGGGATGGATTTGGTTTCTTACATATTATTCTACTTTCTGTTTCCAAGCAACAGTATACACGGGAGAAATGGTTAGAATTTAGAGCACAACAAAGCTAACTGACCCACAAAATGATTGAACCCAGAACACTGTCCTGTTCAGTTTGCCAAGTCAGTTTTCTGTTACATGGTAGCCTTTTGCATGGCAAGCTGGAGTTGGTTACTCAACCTCATTTCTTTAAATGAAGGAAGAACTAATGGTCACTTGTAAACAAGGTTGCTTCTTTCTACTTGCTTTGTTATTGACTACATGCCTGAACAATTAAGCAAATTTAATGAAGCAGTTTTTTAAAAAGAACTTTCTTCTAACCTTTTTCATAATATCAAAAAGCTGGGAGGTTGGCTGATAGCTCCTGACTTTGCTTGGATAAAGGTATTACATTATTACACTCTCATGCAAGAACTTTGTAGCCCAGAATACCGAACCAGCTCCTAGACGGAGAGAAGTTTCCTAACTATGTGTCCCTACGTTTTTTTAAGAACACATTACTTCTATTTTTTTTTATAAACTAGTTTCAAACTGAGGTCACAGGTAGTGTTTCAAGAATCAAGGTCATGTGGCTTAGGGCTTTAATCTTTGAGGCTGACATATTCCACAGATTGATACTGATCTCTCTCTCTCTCTCTCTCTCTCTCTCTTCCCCTCCTCCTTCTCCTCCCCTTCTTCCTCCTATTCCAATCTTTTCCCCCAAGCCCCTCTCTTAAAACTGTTTTTGGTATGAAATGTTTTCTTTTGGCTGTTCTTAGTGCATTTGGAATGAAGCTAACTCCATGATGGCCTTGGGATTGCCTATGGGGATTCACACAGGCTTGGGCAACCTCCCTAAACAGGGTGATGAAAGCTCCCTCAAGCCCCTCTACTAGGGAGTGTCTCCTGGGCATCTACCCCACAAACTCCATCAAAGCACAAAATGCAGATCCCCAATCAAATACCTGACTCTTTTCTTGAAGTTACCTACCTTTGTTCATCTCTTTCTGCTCCCTAGGGTAGAAGGTAAAAATTCATTTTTGTATAAATACTCTCATGGTCATTCTTTTCAGTTCTATATCCTTTCAAAGGTTCCTTCTTTGGATCTGGACAACTCCAAAAGAGTGGTGCCAGGGCATTTGATATGTATGGTTTACACTGTGACCATTTAACCATGCTATTCAGCTACTTATGTCAGCCATTAGTCTTATCAGTTTAGCTGACATTACTTTAAAGCTTTCAAATCTCGTTCAGCTTTAGTTATAGCTAATATAAAAAGAAGATTTGGACAGATATGAAATTCAGTGCTACAGATAAATGGATTCATTTAAGAGCTGAGCAGAAGATGACTTTCCAATAAATACCCTGTCTGTCCTAAATTCTCAATGAATTGTGGTGTGACCATGTAGGCATGCACACTCTAAAATAACAAGGGTTACCATTTTTAAAACAAATGCATATGGATAATTCAGGATCAATAATCAAACATATTCTATTTCTGATATCTCAGACCACTGTCAGGAAAAGAAAAGGTTCATTTTGGAAAGAGACCTCACTTTTTTCCCTCACACTCTGATGATGAAAAACACTTGATCTTGGCTTTCTTGCCTGGAAAAAAGAGCGCTTGTGCAGATTTGGATTTAAGTCCTGGCTCTGCCTCTAGTTGTTTTGACCTTCAGCAAGTCACAACCTCCTTGTCTGTTTCTTCAACACTGCGTGAGCAAAGTAGATTTTCATAACCCTTTCAGCGTAAAAAGTCTAGAGCTAATGCAAAACTGAAAGGATCCGTCAATTCAGAAATAATTAAACCATTTTATTTTTCATTGTGCATTTGTGAAGCAGTCACACTACATGAGTTGGACTGGTATTAAGTAGAAGACCCAGCCTGAGCTGGGTCAGCTCAGCACTAAGGTTAAAGGTGCATTCAGTCAACCTCCTAAGAACTCATCAACCAGGTGCTGTTCCACAAAGGCTCCTTCCAGAAACTTATCGTAGGATATTGTTCTCGAGAACCCAGCAGTCTACCTGGGTCCTCCTGATAACAGTGGCTAAGTAATCGTCACCCTTTATAACTTATTTCTGCAGTCAAGAAAGAAAAGCTACTGCATCCAAGACATTGTTTGGGCCAGTGTGGGGGATGCATTTATGGTCTACGTTTTTAAAGATCAAACTTTGAAAGATTCTTAGCAATAAAGCAGGCTATAGTACACATGTGAAAATATATTTTTCAATGGCAGGAAAAAAATTCCGTCTTTTACAATAGCAAAAATTTTGGAATCAGAATCTTTGATTAAAATTCAAATCCCTATGAAGCTTTTCATGTTTCTTATCACTGAAAAAAATCAGCAAACATTTTTGTTCAAGAGGTACATCTCTAACTCCAATAGAACCTGCATATTTTCCCCAACAACTGTATCAAAGCAATAGTGTTAGCTAGTCTGGGAATAAATAATACTCATTTTAAGCCTCACCATAGTCTTAAGCCAAATGATATTGCCAACAGCCCAATGAAGATTAGCTCTAATGGAGAAGAAATGACAGCCTGCAAAATTTCTTCTCAAGTTTCTTCCAATTGTCAGTGAGTCAAAACCACAGTCACTAACGCAACAGCTCAGAAAGAGAGGCGGAGTTGAAAAACTTCCAATAACTGTCAAAGAAAATTCTAGTCTTTCTTAAGTTTTTAAATTAAGTTTTACTCATGTCAACCCCATCAACAAAAAGGAATAAACTAAGACTGTGTTTATGTGACACCACAACAACTAGTCAATTAAGTGGGGAGTGAACTCAAATCTTTTGATTGACTCAATTTTATACTTTCAGTTTGCTATTTCAGTGTATTTAATTGGTCACAGTCTTAACATGGCCATATTCATTCAATAACATTCATGTGGCATTTGATCACTATTAACAACTTTCCTGGAGATCTAAGAATATATAATACAAAGGCTCTGAGTCCACTTAAGTGCATATTAATTTCTGAAAAGCATTTTTGCTTTGAGCTGTCACTGAGAAATCATGCAAATGAAACCAATGTAAAGATGGTGGTAAATATGGTATCCAAACAAATTAGGTCCAGATTAATTTAAACATTGCTAGGGTAGAAAGAACAAATCTTACTCCTCTGTTATTCAAAGATGAATATACACACATACACATGAAAAATGGTGAGTGTATCAATCATATCCTGTTGTAATTATAAAACTGTACTTTGAAGAATAAACCATAATGTTTTACATTGGCACTTATAGTGATCAGAAGCAATATCTTCTTATTTACCAAACAAATTATTAGATAGGAATCATATTTCACCTATAACATTGTATTGATGTACAATTTATATATGTGGCAGACTCTAAATATTAGCTGTATTTGGTCAAAAATAATATAATAATAAGTATTTATTTATTTCAAAGAAATTGTGCCTGGTCTAATGAAAAGAAATTTGAACATGGAATCAAAATATTTGCGGTTATTACCAGGCTTATTGCCTCCTAGCTGCTTGACCTTGGGAAGGTCATTAATCTGCCTGAACTTTGGTTTCTTAAAATGGAAGTGAAAAAAAGAAATCTGCTTCACAAGTTTGGATAAAAATTAAATAGTCAGTGGACATAAAAAATGTGTTATAGAATGATAAAGCACCATAAACTGTCATTATTATTTATAGTATGAAAGTGTAAATACTCAGTAAAAATAATTAGTAAAATGCCTACTATGTGCTACACAATATGTGAATCATCAGTCTTTACAGTTATCTTGCATAATGGGAGGTTTTAATGCACATTTTTAAGAAGTTGATAGATTAAGCAGGCAGAAACAATCAAACCTTAAAAATATAGAAGAGAAGATGGGAACAACACAAATAACAAGTTTTATCTAATAAATGTGCGTGTGTCTAACAGTATTCAACATGGGCAGAATGCATATTTTCATCCAGAACACACCATGCATTTACAAAAGGTGACCGCACACTGGGCCATAAGACATGTCTTAACAAATGTCAAAAAAGTTTATTACGGTCATAGCATCTAACCAAGATGTGATTTAATTAGAAATCAGGAAAAAAAAGTAAGTGTGTTAGTTTTCCATTGGTGTGTAACAAATTACCACAGACTTAGCTGCTCAAAACAGCACCCATGTATTATCTCATAGTTCTGTATGGCAGAAACCTGAGGAGGCTTAAATGGTTTTTCTGCTCAGGATCTCCCAAGACTGTCATCTACACGTGGGCTGGGCTGGACTCTGATCTGGAGGCTCTGGGGAAGAACCTGCTTCTGTATTAGTCAGGATCCTCCAGAGAAACAGAACCAACTGGATAGAAATACAGAGATATATACAAGAGGAGATTTACTACAGAATTTAACTCACGTGGCTATGGAGGCCGAGAAGTCCACAATCGTCCATCTGTAAGCTGGAGGTCCAGCAAAACTGGTGGTGTAATTACTCCAAGTCCAAAAGCCCAAAGAGCAGGGGCACCAGTGTCTACCGTTCAATAAGACTGTGTAGATAGAAAATCTAAACAATACATTATTAGAATTAATACGGTAGTTACCAAGTTCGGGGAATGAAAAATAAATGTAGAAAATTATTGTATTTCTACATATCAGCAACAATGGAAGAATTAGATACTGAAAGTTTTTAAATGTATCACTTAGTCACAAAAACATAAAATAGCTACAAATTTAATATAGATACACAAAATCTTCTGAAGAAAAATTTTAAACTTTGAAAGACTTTAAAAAAGGCCTAAACAAATAGATAGATATCCCACATTGATGGGTTGGGAGACTCAATAAATAAAATAAATATTTCCATTATTTCCAAATCGATGTTTTATGCAATTTTAATCGAAATCTCATCAGATACTCTTTGGTAAAAGTGATAATATGATTCTAAAATTTATATGAAAGCAATGTATAATATCTAAGATGACACTGAAAGAGAAGAAGATGTGACTACTTACTCTTCAGGTACTTAGAATAATTACAAAGCTATAATAATTAAAGCAGTGCAGTACAGAGCATAGAGAGACAAATAAACCAGTGTAACAGGACAGAGTCTGTTATTTCTAAATGGACATGATATATGACAGAGGTGCAGATCAGTAAAGATGAATGATAAATATATGGTACTGGAGCAACTGGTTATCCATATGGGGGAATAAAGTAGTGGGATTCCTACCTCGTACTGTAGACAAAAAAAAATTCCACTTTGATTAATGATCTAAATGGGACAAATATAAACCTTAATATAGAAGAATATCCTTGATTTTGAAATATGCAGGATTTCTTTGAAGAAAATAAAAAGTACAAAACAGAATATTTTAAAAACTGGCACATATATGAACCATGTAACAATTCATATCTTATCCTACTATCATATTTTGGTCAACTTTGGGAACAGGCATGGTGCCAGAAGCAACTTCCCAACTTCAGCCTCTTCTCCTTGGCCATGCCAGCAGTACATCAGGACCAAGTTGGAATAAAATACAGATGCTGAAGAGAGTTTTAGAAGAGGCTGCAGAACATAAGAATGTGGACAAAGAGAAAGGAGAAAACTAGAGGAAAGTTCAAGGGGAGAAGCTGCCCCTCTGTTCAAGCCCCTTTTAGCCCTTTAGGAGCTCATCAGGTTCCAAGGGTGGTTCACCATTGGAGGGGTCTATGTGTACATTATGGGCAATTTGAATCTAGACTAGAGGACTTCAGAAAAAGTCACTGCCCTTTCATTATTTGAAAAGGATGTCATACGAACACTGATTTTACTTCTTAATTTATGTGTTAGTCATGTGAATAAAAATCAACACCTGCAATACTGTGTGTAAAAGTAGCACGTGAACTTTGCCAGAAACTGTACTTGTAATCTTCTACTCAACCTGGAACAACACAGGTTGATAGTGTGTATTGATAATCACAACATCCAGCACACTCCACTGAGCAAAATTCATTAATTTCTCTATGCTGAATGAGACAGATAGAAACCAATTCAAGTTTGGGGGGTTTTTTTACTAAAAAACTTTTTTTCCACTTTAGAGAGTCAACCTTTTTAAAGACACACTATAGAAATGTGCTCTCAGGGGTGATCATTAGGGGTATAAAAGTAGCTTAAATAACACATAAAATGATAGAAAGTAATTTGAAATGATCTCAAATATTTGAAATAAGGTTAACTGGAAAATATATAGAAGTTAAATAACTGTTATTCAGGGAAAACAAACTGCAATGGCTCTTAATTGCTACTAACATTTATTGAACAGTTTGTTTATTAGAGGTTTCACATAGATTTTGATTTTCAAGGGTAACATCTGGAGAAATGTCATTTTGCCCAGCCTAAACTCTGTAAGCCAAAATACCAGTTCTCTCTGAAGGCAGCTCTCAAAAATCACAGTCATAATTACCAGTAGGAAATCATTATTCTCTTGGGACTGGACTTTGTATATCTAACCACTTCAGGTACTGCAAATATCTCACCACTGCATGGATTTATAAACTAAGAACGACATGTGCAAGACACAAAAACAGAAAGACAGAGAATTCTGACAGGTCAACCGTCCAGTCACATTTTATTTCCTTTTCTCTTATCAATGCCAAAAATCATACAACAGATACATACTCAGTACAAGTAAAATTTATCCATGGACACCATTCTCACAGAAACAACAAATGACCTCATGTTATAGAATAACATATCACCAGAAATGAAGGAAGCATGGATTGTCAGCAATTGCTTATGCCTACTGAAATATCCAAGGGTAGTCTTGGATTATTGTAATATTTTGAGAATATTCTTTTTAATTAAAAGTGAAATATTGGCTCTCCTCTTAAAATATGCATCACAGCATATTTGGAAACAATGTTATAGGAAAGTGATTCCAGATGTTCTCTGAGAAGTCATGAAAGCCCATGTGAGAAATACTGATATACAGTGATGTATGTGTGTGTGTGAGCTAAATCTATGTGTATACATACATTCATGTATATCATATACAGACAGACACACACACACACTCATACACGATGACAAGAAAATAAACCAGAGAAATGTGGAAATTTGGGGAAAGAAATTGATAACTCTCCATAAACAATTTGCTAAAGTAAATCACTGAACTTAATGGTTGACATGAAACACACAAGGGAGCAATTAGGTAGAGTGATGCAAAGGCAAATAAATAAGACCAAACTTCATGTAAATATAATGCATTTCAGTGTTGCTGATAAGTTTCAAGAAAAGTTAGCTTGACTAGTTAAATCTCAGGAAGAAGTATTATGACCATCTTCAGAATCCAGATGGAGCTACAAGCTCCATTTTTCTGTTCAAAAACCAAGAGTAAATATGGTGAACATGAAACAGTAGATTTAAGTAGATCCTTAGAACAAATATTAAGGATTAATGTTTTTCTAAAAGAATTAGTTAATAGAAGAAATAAAATATAACACTTTTTTCAACAAAGAAGTAAAAGACAGTGAATTAAAATTTTAAGTTAAATATTTAATTATCTTCTTGAACATTCATTTTCCAAATCCTGAGAAACAATGCTTATTGATTTTTTTCTGACTATGAAAGCAACAACTATCTCTTTGCAGAAAATTTAGATAAATAAAAAGAAATAAAATCTCAATTCAACCCTCTGTAGGTGGAAATACCAAGGCAATAAATAAATTGTATATAAATTGGAATAAAAATAAGTTTGTAAATATATAGATTAAAAAGAAACAAAGTCATTTACCTAGAACTTTGTGAACTAGAGTTCAGTAAGGTAACCACATAGAAAATGAGCAAAGAAAAATTAGTAGCTTTCCATCCCACACAAACACACACAAAGATTAGATATTTTTAGATTTCATTTTAAAAAAGCAACAAAAACTTTATTGAATTATAAGTAAACAATTGTGCAACAAGTTATGATAATCTATAAAACGTTACTGAAGGATCTAAAGAAAAACTTAAGTAGAAAGTAAACTATATTTATGGATAGGAATGCTCAATATTGTAAATATTTTAATAACCCAAATTAGTCTACAAGTTAAATAAAATCGCAACCAAAATCCTCGCAAGAATTTCTTGGAACTTGATAAAGTGATTTTAAAATTCATATGGAGGAGCAAATGCTTAAGAATAACCAGGACAATCTTAAAAAGGAAGAAAGCAATTGTGTGATGCATTCAACTAGATATCAGAACAAAGTATAGAGCTAAAATTAAAATAGTAACAAAGCAGCATGCATGATATAGCACAAAATGGATTAATCATATATACCGGAGTGAAGCTCTGAACTTTTCATTCTGGAAATACGGAAAATCCGGAATTTTACTAAGGTACGTGTGGTAATTTAATGTATGATAAAGGCCAGCATTACAAACCAGTGGGAAATGATAATGAACTCAATGTTTTGGGTAAATGAAAAGGTATAGGAAGAGAGTCTTATCTCAAATCATTAAATAAAATAAATTTCAGCTCATCTAGAAACCTAAATGAAAATATTAAGTATTAGTAATGAATATGGTGGAGTGTTTATGGTCTGGGAGGAAAGAAGGCCTTAATTAGCAAAACACAAAAATCAAATGCCATAGAGGAAAAGACTGACAAGTTTGCCTAAATCGGAACTAAAAGTAAAGTGAAAGAGTAATCATTACCTTGGGAGCTCATATTTGCAATATGTATAACAGATAATCGATTAATACCCAGGAAAATGTGAGTGTATAACATAATTTATATGTATATATCCTTCAAAATCAATAAGCTAGAGACAAACAACCCAGCAGAAAAATGGGCAAGGGATATAAAGAGATAACAAGAGGAAACTTAACTGACCAATAAACATAAAAATATGTTGTTTTCCTGACAGTCAGAAAAATAGAGATTAAAATAAAATGATTTATCAGTTTTTGATCTCACAGGGAGGCAAAATGTAAAATTTTCATAATATCCACTGTCAACAAGGGTGTAAGGCAACATGTGCTCTTTGCAGAGCAGATGGGAGTGTGAATCAGCACAGCCATTTGGGTGGACAACTTGGGAGGCTCTGTTAAAAGTGAAAATGTGCAAACCTTAGCTTTGTTTACAGAACAAAAAACTGGAAACAAGTTGAATGGCCATTACTAAGCAGAGGGGAACTATGGAATAAAGTAGGTTTTTATATACTAGCATGACAAATGTCTTAAGTCATGCTTAAGAAAACAAAGAGAACAAAAGATCAAAATAAACAAAAAAGGAAGATTGCAAATTACTATATTACAGTATGATATTTTGGAAAAAATACAATGAAAATCAAAACTGTGTAATTTTACAAATGTAAATACAAGAAAAAGTTCTAGATATACGCCCATGAACTTCATAACAATGTTACTCCTATGAAGGAGGAAGGGACCAGGACAGAAAAGGGCCAAATATGGAGAGAGACTATATCCTGGGATATCTGGGACAGTTCATATATATTCTTATTTTAATCACTGGTTAACTTACCTCTACTCAAATTGCTTTCCATTCACACCACCAGTCAGTGTTTTTGGAGCAATAATAACAATAAATACCATTCATAAAACTGT